AACAAGTTTACCACAAAGTTTTCAAACGTGGAAAGCAAAATATTTAGCAATAAACCCAGGAAACCCCCTTGTAGACGTCGTTCTTGAATTCCTCTTAGCCAACCAACGTATTGAAAATGTCCCTTTTTCAGACGACCATCAATGATAGTTAGAATGATGGTATTGATGACATCTGCTGACAGTCCACCAGCACCTGTTCCAAGAGCTGCGCCAATGATTGGTCCAACTATTATGCCACCAAATAGGAACCCAATGATCAATCCTGCGTACTTGATTGTCCTCTGCTGCTTAAAGCTAAATGTGCCTGTGGGAGTGAAATTGAAACATTTGCTCATCATTTCTGCGTGTATAAAGTTGAGCTGGATTAAGATAAGACTTGTTTTCAATTTCAAAAGAGTTGTCTGAAATGTGCTGAAGCAAAGATTTAAAATTCTGAGACCAGCCTACTTTTTAGCGTGCAATTTTATTATTTAGATCACTGATGGATTTTTGCACTGCCAGCATAGGTTTGCAAATGCTTTCATGTCTAGAGCTTTTCATTTCTTGTCTTGTACAATCCACGAACCTCTGTTGTAATGCTAAGGATTTGAAACCCAGTTCTTGCAATTTACAGTTGGACTTCCTCAACTTGAACCTCATGGACTCAAATGTTTTTATAGTCATAGTCCAAATTCCTTTAAAAGAGTGTTACCTGAACCTCCTTAACTTGAAATCTGTGAAATGACTACCCTGACTTGAAATTTTTGAAGACAAAGAAAAACAGGAATTTTTAAAGCGAGTTGATTTTGGAGAGGAAGTGAGTGATCGTAATTTGACACCTAAAAAATTGACTTGATATTCTGCATCCCGCAAACTCATTTTGCAGCGGCTTCTGACTCTTCCCCTTTGTCATTTAAAATAATTGAAAATTATTTTGAAAACTGCTATTTTTCAGCCCCATCCCCATAATTGCGACATAACATTTTCAGCTCCAGTTTCTTTAAGCTATAACCTTTCTAGTGTACATCCATTTTTAGCATCTTCAACAGGTCCAAATTCACAAAATATCACTGAGTAATCTAAGCTGTATTTAAAAATTACTGATAAATCCAGGAACTCCCCTAATGCACTACTGCTATTTCTCCTGGATATTTCGGTTGTTCCAGGATCAGGTCTGTCCGTTGTTCCATGAACAGGTCTTTGCATACTTCCTGAAGAAGCTGGAGGTTGGCGTAAGTTCTCACGCGGATACGTCCCATCACCTCTGATCAACTCCCCAAAAATATTTTTCCCGATTGTGATGGGAAATCTCAGCACTCTCGGCACGATTGAAAAAATTGGTAGCTGGCCATTACAAACAGTGATGGAGGCCACGAGAAGTAGGACAATTTTGAGACTACACATGATAAGGTCTGGACACAACTGTACGCGACGGTTGCTTTGAAATGATTGAAAAAACAAAAACAAGGTATGATGCAGCGAGGCATGCATTTGTCACGACTGCTCAAAATTTGTCGGCTTTCGACACACAAAGAACACACTTCTGAACGTATTCTTATTCATAGAATTCATATCACAGGCGTATGGCGTTTCCACGTTCACTTCTTCCTTCTGAAAATATACAAAAGAAAAGCAATGAGCCATAAATCACCATTCATGCATCAATGATAGAAGAAAAAGAAACAACCAACAGTTGAATGAAATGCTAGAATGGAGATCAATTGTAGCATTCAGTCAAGGTGAAACAGCACTGTAAAACCCTTCACCGCTAAAAACACCGAATGTCTTATTTAAATGGAGAGACATTTTTTCACGAGCCTTGAAATGTAGGTCCTAAAATGGGCATTCAAAATTTTCGGATTCCAGGCCACATATATTTGAATTTAAAACTTCACAAACTGTACTTTAAATTCAAATTTTTCCTTTTTATATCCTGAGGTTTGATAACTGGAAATGCGACATAATCCTGAAAGTGAGACTTGATACAATGTTCTTCTGATTTTATCCCCGAACACATTTTGAACATGAACATATGTTTTCAGAAACAAAATTCCCTTTCTCCCTTCAACAGGAAAACATCCCAAAATGTTGTCTTCATTCAAATGCGGAGATGAAACCAAGAAATTAATGATTACTTCAAGTTATGCCTCCCTGTAGGAAACAGGTCAACCATAGCCTTCAAAGCGCATCATTAGATTAGAACATGCACATTTTAAACTACGCAGAAAATGCAACCCACCTCGAACTTGAAACCAATGGCCACAATACATTCTTTAAGAATGTCATATGGCGGTTCGATGGATAAATTATCTTTCATGTCTGCGTAGTGATACAATAAGGGGCCGATGTTGATCCAAATTCCACCAGGTTTAAGGATTCTGAAAACCCAAAGGTGCATCAAATTATGTAATAAACGGCATAGGTTCTTCTTTGTGCAACGTTGTGACAGGGTAAACAAGAATCCAGGGAACCTTATTTGGACATTTTATTACAACGTGAAAATCACTCATTTGAGCAATTGCGAGAAAATTGGCTGATTGAAAGACGAAAACGTAATACTTATCAGTTTTTTCTCTCGATACTATAGAGTCAGCATAACATTTGCAGCTGGCTTCCAAAAAATTACTTCCAACAGACGATTTATTTGCCCTGAATGTACTCACATCCACAAATTCGCCGCCAATCATGGTGAAATTTGCAATCGAAGTAGAATCCGATGTTCTCACATCGGGGAACAGAACGGGTTTCAATTGGTTTTCCGCCTTTAGGTTATTGCAGAATCTCGGCACCCAAGGATAAATTTTGATTGAATTCAGTTCCCCGCTAAATCTATAAAAATAAAAGGTGGAAGGCAAGAGCCTTAGATGGTATCAACATGAACAAGAGGAAAATAAACTCAAATATTTACCTGTTTATCATGAAATTTGGTCGTTGTTCGTACTTGTACGACATGAGTAACGGGAGTGACCTTTTCGGAGAGGCCTTATAAAGCTTTCGATCCGCGGGTTCAGGACGAGGCCCATGTTCTTGAGAGCAAAGTCTCGCAAGAGACATGAATTGAGGATGAAAAATAATTGACCGGAATTTCAGATGAATGCAATATTAATGATGATATTTTCTCTTGAAAAAATCCCGTCAAATTTAAATGACATTTGAAACATCTTCCGTGATAATTTAAATTCTCTCAAGATCCCCTTGACAGATGGTTTACGTTTCTGAAAATTTACTTGTGTGAATGAAGTTTCACATTTCCCCAAAAAATGACTGAATACTACATCTTTTCCGTGTTTATGGATACAAAAAAATCTGTACAGGGACAAAGAAAACAAAATTGCGTCCAACACCTTGGTTCATTGAAAGAGAATTCAAATTTTCCGCTACTGAGCTCTTTCCGTAGTAGAAAAAACCTTGCCGGTGATTCGGCGGAAAAGTTGCGATATTTCACGGGAGAAGAACAAACATAACTATTTATTCGAAAAAAAAAAAAACTGACTCGGGTAGCAGATCAGAGAATTCATCCTCAAGAGCTTGAACCACCATGCCATAAGATGCTTTTCTTTCCTCACTTCCGGCTCCACTCCAGTCACGAACTAGTTGTACCATGGTCGAGTCCACTTTGTCCATATCCGCTGGCCTGACTGGCTCAGCCGCTTCCGTCTTCTGCTATCGAGCAAAAGCTGTGCTTTAAAACGATGCTGCGAGTGGCCGTGATTAATAAAAGTGAAATCACGAAAATAAATTTGGTACTACATAAAATAAACCGCGGGGTAAATGCTCGTACAACTATATGCGTATACAGATGCAGAGATTTCACTTACACATTGATAATCCTCGTTCAGGAACATTCGTTCCGCTTCGAGAATCATTTCGTCGATGAACTCTGCGTTGTATAATATGCACTCACGAACCATGTTGAAGTGGTCCCCAAATTTCTTCAATAATAGCCTGTGGTTGGGAGGTAGGCTATCAAAATGTCTTTCCAAGAGCCGTTACGCGAATTCTACGGTGCTCGACTTACTTTTTATCTGCCCGTAGTTTAATACCGTACAATTTTAGCGGCTCTCCTTCTTGCCCCACAGTGTTTGTAGGACCCATAAGCGCCCCTTGCTGTTCAATGATTCTGTAATTAATGTAAAAGGAATTCATATGAATGAAGTGCACACGTCAAGTTCCTCACCGGTAATTTTTGAAGGCCCTCATGATTCTTGTGAAATGCTTTTGTTCTTCGTCGTGCGAATAATCTGCCGAGTCTGGAGGCAAGTGATAATGCGCAGGATCGATGTCCATGATGGTTTGAATCCCGATTGTGCAGCTGCTAATCAGAGTGTTGGAAATACAGTATTCATCACTTGACTTCCATCATGAAGAAGCACTTCATCGTACAAATTCAATTTGGATTACAGCTATGTACTTCGCTCAATCCAGCTTTACCGGCTTTTTGAGCGAAAAACAACGTACTAGATGCGCTGTAAGGAGGGCGCCACATTGATTTTGTGTCAGAATAGTCCGCGAGCCCTAACCCCCCCACTTAACTTAACTCTTAAGATAGCTAAGCATAACACTAAGTTGAACGCGTGCTGATGCTAAAGTTTGAGGTGTTGGGATGTACTCAATTCGCCAATGCAATATTTCATATGTTAGCTACCGATTTTTGCAAGACATTCTGTTAAGGGCCTTCTGATAGGAAAGCTTCTCTAAAGAAGACGCTTACTTGGCTGTTGTGGAAACCTAATTAACATATAAAGTTTTCTGAAACAGCGAATAAAAAAGTAGATCTACAGCCTTATACTGCAGTGATGCTTCGATAGTAGAGAATTCTAGCTTTTGGGAAATATAAGATCTGACTAATGCATGTCTATGATATTGATAAAATTTCTTGACCGTTTGCACAAATCATATCTGTTTTACAAAAAAAAAACTTCACTGTGAAATAAACGTCTCTTATCCAGATAATCGATTTTCATTGCTGTCAATGCTCAGTAATGATTCCTCAATAAAATTCGAACAGTCGCATACTTAAAAATTTAATTCCACACGAATAAAATTGTATCATAAATAAACCAGCGGGTTTCTCAAATTCGTTGACGTTTTATTCGTGTGTTTGCTTCGATATGACGTCTTAAATCCGCTGGTAAATTTCATGATTGTTTCTTTGGAATGAAGATTCAATCTCAAATTCAAGAAAACAGATCTTTAAAATGTATCACGTGTCAATTTATTGCGAACAAGCATGAGATTTATTTGCCGATTTTATTATTAATCTGCTGTCCAAATTATGAGTATAATGATTGAGGTTATATATATATGGACTCGTCCTCCGATTCTTAAATCTGAATGTGATGGACGTGTTTCTCATGCACAAATTCCATTGAATTCGATATTCTATGTTTCAATCTACGAAATAATATGTGTCTAAGAAAATGAAGAGATTTAAAATATGGAAATTGTAATTTTTCATCGTTTTTTCCAGGCAGAGGAGGAATGGATTTTTCAGCTTTCAACTTCGTCTTACGCGATTCCGTCGTTGATACAGTCAACGTGTCGGTTAAAGGAACCGCTCGCTTCACCGGAGACGTTTTTTGCATTACCGAACTCGGCAGTATTGGTAAAAAAAAAGCGTNCAATGCTGTTACCTTCAACAGTGTCAGGCAGGTGTCGCCCGAATCGATACCCTGACCGGAAAAGAGAACGCTGCAGTTAAATATCCAAGGGCCTGTGAAAAAATGCGTTGAACTAAAAATTTCGTTGTAGAAGATTAATAAAAGGACTTCTTCTGTTTACATTACAATTACCTATAACGAATATGACACAATATTCATGCGACACGTGCTTAATACGAAAAGAAACCACGGACTTGGCAAATGAAGGGCATTAAAATCGGAATACCCGAAATAATTTGTCCAATAGTGGCGGGTCCAAGAAGATTGCTTCTGAAGAATATTCAATGAAATAACAATTTTGGGTGATTTTCAGCATTCCTAAAATTTCTTGTTGTGGAATTTTTTTTTCTTCCTTCAGGTTGGCGTTGTGAGACGTTTAAATAAAGGCGGTTCTGCTGGGAATTCCTGCGTGGCTGAAGTACTGTTTATGGATGAATCCCTTGGAGGATCTGGCAATCATCTGAGAGTTGAATTTTGGGGCGCTTCGAAGGCTTATCAGACCATGTCGTGGACCATTGGAACAAGTATATCAGCATTCAAGACGCCTCATTTTTAAAATTTAAAAATGACATTTGGGTTAAAATGGCATTTCCCAATAAATGTACCCCATCCTTGCCAATTAAAAAATAATTTTTATGGACTGCCGCTGCATGAGTTGAAATAATAAACTCGAATTATGCCTTCACCTTCGAACTTAATCTTCTGACGTCCTGTAATATCATACCAGTGCCCTAAAATCAAATATAGCAGAGGCATCTTCGACGAACAATGAAAATGAATAAATTAGCAATCTATCATATAAAAATAAAATAGTTGACGAAGGTAAGCTTCTGCTTATGAAAATGCAGCAAAAATTGTTTTGCAAAATTTGCCCCGCTCCTATCAAAACTTTCCTTGTATGAGAATAGACGTCAATTTTTTTCTGGAATGAAGCTAAATTTGCTTGCAGCAGCTGGTATGAAATGTTCGTAAGATTGGGAGACACTTTTGTCTTTATCATTTATTTTTCTTGCATACAGTTGTTATGGTGAGCTCACTGGGAGTGCGTTGGGACGGCTATCGGAACAACGTGAAAGCAACTGTCGGAGAGCGAGCAATCGTAATTGTGGACCCAATTTCTCGACGGGCCAACAGGCTTTTGGCATTTACTCCTCATGCTGGGTTGCTCAACTATTCCTTGTGGGATGCCGTGCCTCCATCAGGTTATTTATGTGTATATACTGAATCTTTTATTGTGTCTTATGGTGATGCCTCGTCGCTTTCAATTGAGTCTGTTTCAGTGCTGGAAATTACTCGAATCCCTTTCAGTTCAGTTCTGGAAATAAGTTTCGTAAGCGAATTATGTTAAGCTAAATTAAAAGCTGAACATAAATCTAGATCCCCCAAAAGGTCTCCTTATTGTTACTGAATATAGTAATTTTATGAAGCCATTTGAGATTTCTGATCCTTCAAAAATCCCTCGGATTGCTATGATGGAAAGTGCATATGCTAGGTTTCATCAGTTCAGAATGTGTACTGAAGGATTATGCTTTTACAGTGCATTATTGTATGACTTTTCTTTGGTTTCGTGACCGGCAGATTTTTATTCATGAACACTTGATGTACATGTCTGAATACAGTATAATTATTTTTTACTTTCTCTTATTATATTCCAGGAGTGGGTGAGCTGAATGGAACGTTTCATCTCATTTCGGATTTTCTCAAGGTCCTGCAGAGTTGGGTCAAGAACCCTTCCAGGGAAACCACAAGCTTCATTGCTTGGGTATACGGAATGCCTGCGGGGTTGGATTTATCTCGCAATATCGTTCGCCGTCTCTGGTGAGGAAAATATTTGTCGAAAATAATTGAAAATAATTTCATTCGAATTTGGTCATGCATCAATTCAAAAACCTGCGATTTCTTTTTTTTTCTTAAAAAAAACGCGCGTCGCACTTAACGTTTGCACCCGACTTTACCCCGGCTCTGCAAACGTAAAGCGCTCTGACGTAAAAGTCGTCTTACTCACTCCTTCTGCACGAGTCCACAAACCGAGGAAACCTGCGAGATACGGAATTACCCAGGGTTTTATTCCACTTCAACTTTCTCACGAAACTGATGGATGAAACCGGTGGCATTAAACTTCAAGTTTCCGGCATTGCTGCTCGAGAAGCTCTAGGGGTTACAGTGAGTTATTGATGTAGTATGTATACTGTACGCACAGAATCGGATCTTTCTCTCGGAAAATACAAGTTATGGAATAAATTCTCTTTTTTCATCCCACGTGTGTGAGAAAAAAAAATTTTGAATTGAAGCACTCATCGACCTCGTGTCCAATATATGTGGAATATATAGTTGCACCTTATATGGTGGTGTGTCTGTGAATACGTTTCTTTCCGAAGGATAAGTCAGCACTTTCGCAGTGAATTACAAAACAAAGGGGAATACAGTACTCTGAAAAGGTTTGCAAAAAGTTTTGCTTGAAGCACAAGGAATAAAAAAGACCCAGCTGTTTTCCTTTAACATGATAGATTAAATTACTATGCTGTTTCGAATTGGCGATGATTACTGTGTTATAATTGACAAATTAGTAATACTACTGCATTTTCCATTTTGCTGATCAGGAATACCTTAGAATGCATTGGATACATTATTGACAAGGCAGGAAACGCGACTATGTAAAAGAACCATACCCATCTACAGCGTGATAGCTCAAAAATAAGATTCTACTATTAAGACTTACAAAATATGAAAACTAACTACGATTTTCGTCGAGTGTCTTTTCAGTGTGGAAGATATATTCGTGACTTGCATATATATATATATATATATGTGCTAGCGACATCCATATCCACTGCAAGATAAATTTTCACTTCAGTTTTGAAGAGGAATGAATATCGCACGAATCTTAATTCATTATTTATACTGTGCGTAAACTTTCTGGAAAAAAGTAAGCATTATTGCTTGTGAACGCGTTCTAATTTGCGACACTCGATGAGAACTTTAGAGGTGACTGTCCGCGGGAGCTTGACAGAGTCCTATAGAATATCCCACATTTCTAAATTCGTCATCTTGCTAGGTCAGACCGCGCGTGGAAAAATGAAAACTCATGCTAGTTTTTACATTTTTGCGTGTACTGTGCTGAATGCTGCTCTTCCAAAAATTGAAAAAAATGTAAAAGTAAGAGGAGAAGCAGTAATGTACACAGAAAAATCCGTTGACAAAAAAGATCCCTCTATCGTCTTGTCCATGCTGAAACTGCGAAGAAAAAATAGCATTTCGAAAATATTTTAACTTCCTGTTGGATTTTCTGCATGGAACTTTGCGACCATGTCTTCCCTGAAAAGTTTGATATCTTGCTATAAGCGCCAGTATAAACCGAGGTTTCGCTCTACTCGTAAGGACGACGACATACGAGGCATCCATCCTATTTAAAAAGAAAAGACAGTAAACGCGACTGACAATTTCTTGATGTGGGTAGATGTCGCACGATCGAGTTTTTAGTCCAAGATTAATTCTGGGTGTTTTATACTTGTGATTCATGCCAAAAGCAGCTCACAAAATTCAGTGGGGAAGGTTTATTCGTGACTTGGATAGTGTTTTCGAATGGATCATCCCTTGAACAAAGTGTTTCGTTCTTTTATTTTTATCATAGGAAGACGAATTTGTCAGGATGGACGATGAACGCCGAAAAGCAGTGCTGCAGAATTTCGCATTTGAAGAGTGGAAAGTGCTCGTCCGGTTGCGCGTCCCCACAGTGAAGAGTTTCGTGACGAAGCAAGCCAAGGTTTCGGATTTCTTGGCGTGTGTGGCCATTCGAATGGAGAAACTCAGTGGTCGACTCAAGTGACTAGCCGCAAGAAACAACTCGTCTGCACCACAAGAGACTCAACTACTTATTCTCTGCTACACATACACACCTTTATTCTATACAAAAGATTTATTCACGGCCCCTATATTATAATCCAAATGGGATTTTAAGAATAGAGAATCCTGCTCTCGTCTTATATAAGATTTATGAAAGGGATGTCGATAGTCGGGTTAGCTTTCGTGGTAGAAGAAGTAAATTAAAATCTGTATTTCTTTATTTTATGAAGTCCAGGATGCTTTCGGTTTTTGTGTGAATGATCAATTCTTCTAAGAAACCCATGTAATTAAATTACTGTATTCCTTTTGTGCGTGAAAATTATGCAAGGGTTGCAGAATAATTCAACTGACTTTTCACTTGAGTTCTGAGAATTGGTTAAATAGGCTCAGGAAATCGATTATTTTTGTCTGCGACGATGTATATACTGATTTGGAAAAATGAGTTTGCTCTAAGTCAAAATAATTTTCTTGATCAGCAGTTTTGCGGAATTTTCTTTCTGAGTATCTAAAACATCATTTCTAAAACCAAAATGCGTTGTCTTGCTTGCTACTTGTGAATTATCCTAAGGCTCCTAAAGTTCAAATTATGTGGGAACAGAAACTTTTTTTCTAGCGAAAAGTAAATTAAATGGTAATACTCCTAAGTTTGCTAGTTTGGATTCAATTTCTACTTTAAATTAAACTACGTCCAAGATACTACGGAGTTCAGCAACGCCTATATAAGAACAAGCTTTATTGAACTCATATATTTTTCATCATTCACCGTATACAGTACAGTAGTATATGAGCGCACAATTTTTTCTCCTGCACGTCATGCATTAGATTTTACTTTGTGCGTAAACTGGTGCGTATTCTGGACTTCATAAAATGTTCTCCTACACGTCATGCCTATACACGTCATATGGTTTTGTGTTTCTGGTGGTTCATATATTGAGGTTTTCACTCTGAACGCTATAAGCTGTGCGGTAAGGTACTCGTTTAGTACCAATAAAAGCTGTACATATATTAAGCAGATTTCCTTGAGTACAATTCGGGGTTGTATACTAGAGAAATTTAGAAACGCAGCGGCATTTTAATAAGATTTCGACTAGAAATGAGATTAACACGAGTAATAAAAAAATCAACACGGATTGAACAAAAAATGAAATTCAAATTTGTTATTATCCAATTGAAATCAAAAGGCGAGTCCCTTCACAACGCGCTTCTCGCTTTTTCGTGCTCGTTCCAAAATCACGGACAATCGTTTCGCCATTCGAACTGAGTTCGCGATTTTGTTCTGAACCGACGGAATCCGCCTGAAATAACAAGACGCAAATTGAATTACAACCCAGATAAATTCTCGTTGATTGTCATCATTTCAAAGGATCAATGTGTACGAACCCCGTTTTCAAGCCGTGTGCTCGCCAAGGGCCAGAGATGAAAGACTTATTGAAATTCTCAGCCATGAATAAAGCCGTTGCCGGAATCATTTCCATCTTGAGTAATGCCTCTGCCAACTTCTCAACCTGTGTATAGTTCAATTATTTTCAATTTGAGTTATTTACTTAATATTTTAATTGGGAAAACTGATTTTTAGAAAATAGATCACCATCCCAACGAAGTCCCAATAAGCTGATTGCATCTCGTCGATCTTGTCGTTGGCCTCCGCGATTTCATTGCTGAATGCCAAAATTTTCTTGTAATACTCTTGGGTTTCTACCGGAAGGCTTTTCTGAAAACGCATAGTGGTTGATAAACTCTTCAAGTGTTCCGAAGTGAAAAATGTTTGCATCAAGATTTTATTTACTGTATATTAATATTTTATTTTTATGCACTCACCAGAACTTGAATGGCATCTTGATGCTTTCCGACTGACATTTGGAGAGATTCCACCAAGGTATTCAACTTGGCATTTTCTGCCTCAACTTCGAGGAGTTCATCGTGGAGATTATCCAGTTGGAACAGCAGCTAATTTAGTTTTAAGTGAAGGACCGAATTATTCCTTATCCATGTTTTTTTTTTGCGAGGATTTTCGAAATCAAGGTATTTAATTTATTCGAATTGTTCAGGTTGGAATGTTTATATTGGAAAAATTCAAAACGTAAAAATATTGAAAAAATTTGAACCGAAATCATAAAATATTTAGCATCAAGTTGGAGATGCACCCTCCTTCGTAGAAAAAAAACGATGACTTAATTACGCTTTAATTGCTTTAATTCGTGCACCAAGTTCAAAACTTGACAGAGTGGACAATTCCTTTGCAGAAATTAGAAATGATATGTTGACAATACATTGGAAGACAATACATTAGGATTTTTAAATTACTTGTATGTATGGTGGTGGCACTTTACTGAGGACTTGTCTCCAACTTCATAATAAGAATTAGATTTTTAACTGGTTATAGTGGCAATAAACTAGGACCAATAACTCCCAAATTATTTGCTAGGATTAATATGCTATTTTCTTTGCAAGTCTCTGATTTTAAATTAATTTTAAGTGTAGAACCTGATTTCTGGAGATATTCAAACAGCCACAGCCGTTTATTCCTCTAATAGTTCGGGAAGTAACTAAACATGCATATCTCCTCACTTCTTCTTTCTCTTCAGGCCAGCGAGCATAAGACTTCTGCATTTCTTCCCACTCCTTCGCCTTGATTTCATACTCAGTCTTTTTTCTTTCCAATGCAATCTTCTCCAACGGAAGCTGATCCATTAGGAAGTTGTGTTCGTCCTGATGGAAACAGAATTTTTTTTCCAAAAGAAATCCGGATTGCTATAGATCAGGAAATGTATCAAGCTTACCACCAAATCGTTGACTTGTCCACGACGTTTGTTCAATTCGTCGATTTTGTTTCCTAAAGCCATCCCAACCCGTGTATTGTGCTCATAGGCTACTTCTTCATAATACTGGTCTCGATATCTGTTGAAAAATTTATTTATTCCTAGAAATCTTGAAAATTTCCCAATTTCCCAACTCACAGCAGCTTTAGTTGTGGAAATTTAATAACTCACATTATTTTTCGAATAACTGCAGAAATCTTTTTTTTTTTCAAATGTTGATAGCAAGTGATTTATGAACGCATTGAATACGTTCTACGGAGACGTGAATTGTGGTTCGACTTTGAATTCGTTTCGAAATTTATGGAACGTGAGAATATTCGCTGTATTTTTTTCAAAATAATGGAGCCGTGTTATTTTCATAGCTAATTGATAAACTCCCACGCTCTCATTGAAATATGAAATCGGCGTGATTACAGTACATATAGAAGAAAGTGTCAAGCAACAAAAATTGAAAATGATTTCCTATCAGATTCCTTACGTGATACCAATCATGGCATCTCCCAAAGGCATTCGTTTTTCAATCTCAGCTGCTTGAACATATTGTTGAACCTCTTCAGTTTCATCATCGCATATTTCCTCTCCTGCAGCTGATGGAGGAGGTGCATCGAATTCTTGTTGTTTTCTCACCTTCTTCGCGTTTTCAACTGTAAAAAATGCGTTAATTGTTATTTAGATTCGATTGCTGGAATCTTATTTTCTTTTAAGACAAGAAAGAAAGAGCGATGAAGTTTCTGCATGCACAAGATCCGTCATCTGCTGACGAACGGATTCTGAAAGAGTGAAAGTGAAATTATTTTCTGATACCATATTTTTGGTGACATAATTGATCGCTTTTGTACGTTGATCAAACTAGCTTTTATATTGTAAAGTTAGTAAAAATAACAGAAGCATTAGAAAAACGAATTTCCTCGTTTCGTGTTCGAGTTTTTGTCAATATGCCGATGCAAGAAATGCTTACGTGCGCTGTACCAAAGTCTTGCTTCTTGAACAGCAGTCTTCGCAGTTCCTTTCCCCGAACGGATTTTATCTAAAATGGCTTGCAATTTCCGCTCGATGATCTCTTGTGTGAACCTTCCACTCACTCCTCGTTCTGCCAATTTATCTTCCAAAATGGCTCGAATCTGTGGGATGCGACTCGTTTTTTTTAAGATAAAAAATTGCGAATATGTTATGGAATGACGGTTTTACTTTGGCAGCGACGGCTTTCACGTTGGCATCAGAAACTGTGGTCATGTCTGAGCCCCCCATGAGTCGCCATGCTTCCATCTCAATCTCCTCTTCAACTGCGTCATCAACTTCAGTTGCTGTCATGGCGTCAGCTTCACTTAGAGCGAATGTCATATTCCAACCGTGTTCTTCTTCAGTTGTCAGGGTGCTGATTCCACTTGCAACAAAGGAATCATGTCCTGTAATGGGATTGTGGTTTTTCAAAAAATCTGCAGCAGTTATATCCCGCAGCAAGCACTCACCAGCAGCCATTTTGTTCGTCCAACAAACAATTTACCTTCAAGAACACAAGGTTAAATTTACCGATTAAGGAAAAACAAAAATTTGATAGGATGAATAACAAAAATCGTTGGTGGGGAAAACCTTCAAAAGGGAGCTGATGTTGGTGGATTGCGCTTCATTTCACTGTGGATGATGATTTTCCTCATTGTAACATGGAAGTGTGGGAGCAGTTCATTTCATGAAATGGAACCGAATTTCATTTGTATTAGTATATAGAGAACGTCATTGAAAAGTAGATTAAATGCCACTAGCATGCATGCAGTGATCCAGGCAAGAACTTTTTCGGGACAGAATTCCTTCGTTCAAAATACCCAGCCGGATGCTATGTGTGTCAAAGAAAGTTCGTCCGTCATCGCGTGGAAGTTCTGCCAGGTTACGATCTTGTCAAAACCCGAAGGAGTGTCAGTACTCCGGCATCTAATTATGCGCCCTCCACGAGCAGAATTTTAGATTTCTTGCGGAATTGAGAGATTATCACATTCTAAGTTGCGATAGGGATTTTATTCAGAAGCCTTCCCCGCGTGGAAACGAATTTAATAAACATCGATATTTTCATGCTTCGATACTGCGTCCGTGCTTTCCACGTTTCAAGTGCGGTCGTTCGAGAGTTACTGACGGTGCATAGAGGGGATGGATTGAGATGCAGTATTTTGTGATTGTTCGGCGCTTCATGAAGTAGCAGAAAATGTGAGAGGCGAGTACAGTGGCGTGAACCCGGATATGCCCGAATTCGTGTCATTTCTTTGATTTTTATTGCGGTGTGCCTCTGGATCAAATCGGTGATATTTATATTTTTATGCGCCGGTTCAATTTTTTTCTACCCGCTTTTCAGGCTCTGGAGTTCACCGATGTTGGAAAATTGCCTCTTCTTGTGATTGGTGCGTGTGTAATGTAGGATCGTTCCACTTTTAATACGTCGGGTACGGAGAAATTTTGGAGACATGAACTTATTCTCTACCTTCATCGTCGCTGTTCTAGTTTTATTGCCTGGCCGCAACTGTGACGAGCACAACCATAAGGTTTCACGTGCATCTTTCCACCTTATATTCGGGTCTGAAATTGTGCGTCTTTCTTTCAGTACAAGGATGAAGACGAAGTCGTACTTTGGATGAATACTGTAGGTCCGTATCACAATAGGCAGGAAACTTATAACTACTTTTCGCTGCCGTTTTGTCCTGGACCGAAGCAGCACATAAGCCATTATCATGAAACTCTCGGCGAAGCTTTACAGGGAATCGAGCTGGAGTTTTCTGGTTTGGATATCGATTTCAAAGGTACAGTTTCTACGGTGAATTTTTCACTGCCTGCCTAGATCAATAAATTCTTATCCTTCGTAGTTAATCGAGCTAAAGAGGCCTTCTGTGAAGTGCAACTGACTGATGAACATTTGAAGACATTCATATATGCTGTGAAGAACCATTACTGGTACCAGATGTACATCGACGACTTACCGATTTGGGGAATTGTCGGTGAAATCGATCCGGATGACAACTCCTACTACATTTGGACCCATAAGAAGTTCGATATTGGTTACAACCGAGACCAAATCGTAGATATAAATCTTACTTCGGAGTCGAAGACGAAGCTGGTCGCAGGAGCGCATATAAGCTTCACGTACGAAGTCAACTGGACCCCGAGCGAAGTTAAATTCGAAGATCGTTTCGACAAATATCTCGATCCAATGTTTTTCCATCATCGAATTCATTGGTTCAGTATCTTCAACTCATTTATTATGGTCATCTTCCTGGTTGGTTTGGTATCCATGATCCTCATGAGAACTTTGAGGAAGGATTACGCCAGGTATTCGAAGGAAGACCACGATATGGACGACGTAGAACGCGACTTGGGCGACGAATACGGGTGGAAACAGATTCACGGCGATGTTTTCCGTGGACCCAGCAATGCGCTTTTGTTTTCTGCGCTCATAGGATCTGGTTATCAAATCGCCATAGTAACGTTCCTCGTTATAGTTATGGCTATACTCGGAGAATTGTACACTGAAAGAGGTACGATGATGAGCACATCTATCTTTGTATATGCGGCCACCGCCCCCGTAAACGGGTATTTTGGAGGAAGTCTGTACTCAAGACTCGGTGGAAGAAGGTGGATCAAGCAAATGATCGTTGCTACATTTTTGGTGCCTGTTCTGGTCTGCGGAACAGCTTTCGGGATTAACTTCATTGCCATGGCTTATCATGCATCGCGTGCAATCCCGTTCGGGACAATGGTGAGAAATTTTCCTTACGATTTACATCCAAGAACCGATTCTTGTTTTTTTTTTTTTGAATGAGTTCTATTATCGTGGTAGCGAATATCATAAGAGGTAGAGCTCAAAAGCTGGTAGTTAACAGAAAAGCCAGTACCGAGGAATTATGTAACCGAAAGTGTGTACGCGTCATTTTGGTGCGTCTGTTTTTGTCCAGTGAGATTTACTTTTCCGATTTGTCCTCCGTCTGAAGGTGATATATATATATATATATATCTTCTTTTTTTTCAGTTGGCCGTTACTTGCATCTGCTTGTTTGTGATTCTTCCTCTGAGCTTGGTTGGGACGGTTTTGGGCAGAAACCTGAATGGCCAAGCAGATTATCCGTGTAGGATCAATGCTGTGCCTCGTCCAATCCCAGAAAAGAAATGGTTCATGGAACCCACTGTCATCATCCCAGTCGGAGGCATTCTCCCGTTTGGATCAATCTTCATCGAGATGTATTTCATTTTCACTTCCTTTTGGGCGTACAAAATTTACTACGTGTATGGGTACGTATTTCATTGCTTGAGAATGAGGATCAGGATATTGATTGTTGGCGTTATTTCTTATTGTATGCCCTTCAATCAGGTTCATGCTGCTGGTATTTCTCATTTTGGCCATCGTAACTGTGTGCGTTACAATCGTTTGCATCTATTTTCTTCTGAATGCGGAAGATTATCGATGGCAATGGACTAGTTTCCTTGCTGCCGGATCGACGTCGGTTTACGTCTACGCCTACTCCTTCTACTACTTTTTCTTCAAAACCAAGTGAGTCTTTTGTATCATAAGTTATCTCATCTGTGTTCATGCATACTTGGTTTTGGAAAGGGTTCACAGATTTTTATTTTGAGCGCAAATTTACAGTCAATTTTTTCAGAAGTTCGGCGTCGTTGTGTTTCATTTTTATGACGGTTCGACTTCGATTTGACCTGAATTTCTCGAATTTTTGAACTGAACCAAGCTTGGTTGAATTCGTTACTACATTATTGCTAGAAATCGGTGGTTTAGGTGACTAAACCGATTAACTTAGCTGAACTGCAGTAGCTAGCACAGCTGAGTTGATTGCCAGCGGTTCGTTGTAATCAATCGATGAACTATAAAATCTAATGGGACTCGATACGTTTCCTTGTTTATTATTTACGAATAGAATTTGTTTTCCATGTTGAAAATAATAGTGATTTTTGAGCGTGCCCCGGTGAGAAAGAACGAAAAGTATTTCCCCCCGACATAAAAAAGCCACTGTAAGTACAGTACTTACACCTTGTCTAAAACACAATTCAGTGTCCTACTTTTATTGACGACACGTATTTCAAAGTTTTATTTTGCTGGTCTTGTAAGAGATGATCATGATTTAGTTCTGTTTGTGATACAATGTGATTCAAACGAATATTTATGATTTTGATTTACGTTGTCAGAATTTTCAATTGGTCGTAAAAGTTTTACATTCAGTGCGACGCGCATTAAAGTACATTGAAATCAAGGCTGAATGTGCCTGGAAGGTTGTGAAACATTTTTTGACGCAGGAAAAAACAACTGCCCTTTTGTCTTCATAAATTCCACGCGGAACCATTTTATTGATTTTTCTGTTGTTTCACTGACGTGTTAAAAAGAGTGACATGGAAGCATCTTGAATTTTAGATTTTTTCAGTGTGCAGTATTTGTAAAATGCGATAGCACTGTGGCTCCCGACGACATTCACTCGCGATAGAATATTTTTCTCATGTCCAGTAACTTCTCGAAAGCTCCAGAAATACAACATTTTTAAATTTTAATTGATAGGATAGTGTTCATTAGTGGATAGTGAACCTTTGAATGCTTTGATCTTCAACAAACCTCGGGACGCTGCGTGTAATCAAACTTACTGTACACTAGGCTGCGGTTGGAGCGATTTGATGTTTTTGTTTCTACAGTACTTATGATTTTAGATATTTACTGCATCCATTGTCGCTGTCAAGTATTTTTTTAATGTTCTGTCCAGGCTAAAACAATCGTACTCGCGATGATTTTTTTGTGATGAATCGATGATTATAGTACAGTACTGTATACCGCTTGAATTATAGATGAGAATCAAAATCATTTATGTACTTTCTTTTTGCTGGAGAAATTTTCTCTGATTTGGTTGATTTTCGTCATACCATATCTAAGACATTGTCTTTTTGAACACCCGCTGTGAACATATCCAATGATGAAACTAATTTATTTGACCTAAATTGTCTAGCTATTGAATCGGTCATTAAAACTGGATTGTCGATCAGAATTGGAGTTGTTGATGAAACGTTTTCACGTGTGAAAAGCTAAATGTGCATAATGGAAATGAGACGCCTTTTTTATTGACAGGATGTATGGGCTATTTCAAACTGCGTTCTACTTCGGATACATGGCGCTGTTCAGTCTGGCGTTGGGGCTGATGTGCGGAACACTCGGCTACGCTGGCACGAGTTACTTCGTCCGCAAAATATACTCCACTGTGAAGATCGATTAATCGCGTAGTCGGTGCGCAAACAGGAAGCTTTTTTCCACTTCCCGTCTCCAGCGTCTCTCGTTCGATTTTTTTTTTTTTTCGCACGGCCTCGAAGAGGAAAGAAGGAAAAGCCATTCCGTTTTAGTTTTTCTCGCGTCTCCTTTTTTCGTTACCAAGGAAAGACTTGAATCGTGGAGGGGATTTTAAGCACATGAGAGCGTTCGAGTGTATTTTTTGCTGTCCTCGCTCGTTGAGGCACTGAGTTAGGTTTGTGAATCGAAGGGTGATACTGCATTGAGTTTTCGTTTCGAGTCCCACTGAACAATTATTTGAACTTACTGTTTGGGCTATTGGGGACAACCGTGACCTGTTTGTGTTTCCTGTAGATCCTTGCGAAATCTGCATGAGCTAAGCAGAAAGCCGTGGGGGTGGGGGGATGTTGACAACACGGGATTTGTTTACGAAAATCTCGAGTATTGAACGAGGAAGAAAAATATGGCTGATCGAAGTGAGGCACAAGTTTGGGAACGGTTTCCCCTATCGTATAGCTTCGTAATCGACTCGTTTCTTTATGAATGTGTGTTGGACATGTGAAGGGGAGCGTGTTCCAGGTTGTTTTTTTTTTCAGCGTTGGATTTGTTTCCATTATTCGTTCGTGTTTTTTTCGGAGAAGGGGTTTTGAGTTCAGTGTTTTCCGGCGAGGAAGAATTTTGAGATTTGAATTGCACCGAGAATTGACGACGGAGTTCTGTGGTGTGATTGGAGGAGTCAATAAAAATGCTATTGTGTTGTTCCGTGTTGACGTTATTTATCCACTGTGTATCGTTTTGTATTCTTCACGTGTGTGGTTTTGACGTTCGTTTTTTCATGCTTTTGTGATCGTTCATTTAATTTCTCCGTTTTGTTATTCTTTTCCAACAGGTGAAGAACTGTGACTCGGAGTGAACATGCTGTGATGATGGCGAGAAGAAGAACTTTTAGTGAACAGACTGGGAATGCTATTGGATTCACGTTGGCTTGGATGCGAGATCGGAGCAAAAGTGTAGAATTAACCTCTCCGTTGGTCTCTGAAATCCAGGTGAAGAAATCGTGAAATATTCTCATTTCATTGCGTATTTTGCCCGGGAAAATTACCATTTGTGTTTACCGAAACTTTTTTATCAACTGTTCCCCTTCGTGTGAGAATACTTCTTGTGGAAAATGTGTCCACTCGTAAAATTCAGGTCATGCGAATATGATTTGGTTCCTTGAGTTTGGTGATCGAAAAAAAAACACTGAATTCAGGACGGCAAAAAATAAATGCCTGAATATTTCTCAAGGGAATTCTTAAAAATTTTGTGGAATAAATTTATCATTGTACATTATGTTTCTAATGGCAAATCTTCACCAAGCACTGATATCTGCTTCATAGTACAGGAAATATTTTTTTTTATGTGCCTTGAAAATCCTGTTGACGAATATCCTCCTCTTAGAGTCCAATGACCTAGGACCTATCATTTTTATTTCACTTATCTTGCTTCAGTTAATTTTTCTATAAGCTTCTTCACTTTTTCACAAAAGTTCAATGCACTTCGGCGAACGTTTCTTTCAAGATGTCTGACGCATCAACGTTGCCCAATTTTCCACTGCAATTACATTTTAGTTAAAAAAAAAAAATTAGTGAGTTCACAGCTGGAACGTATCTATTGAAATGTAAGTTGGTTTGAATATTTCCATATTATTTTGGAAATTATTTGGATTATTACCCGGATGCCTTCTCCCAGTTAATCTGATGCTACTGTAATGTGAACTTTTATTCTACGGTTAAAAAATTGTGATGAAAAAAACCCAACATAATCTTATCGACATTCCCACGTATCTGTGAAACGCGTTAGTCTAGCTTATTGAGCAAATAGAAGCAGCGGCTTTCTTGAAAATTGCGTGACATCTTTTTTTCCCATCAATTAAAATTCGCACCCGGTCGATCGGATTAAGACTTGATCGGGTTTTTTCTGTAGTTTGTTCTTGTGACTTCATTCATTTTTTCTTTCTCTTATCAGGAAATCGAAAGCGATGTGTACGAGCATGTCCGCAAGTCGTCAGTCTCCGGATTTTCCGATGTGGCTCAAAGAACCGAATTGTACCGCAATCTTTCGGAACGTCTTTCCAGGAACCTTTCATTGGGTAATGAACTGGGCGCCAAAGTCGAGACCCAAATCATACCAAAACTGTCCCGACTGCCCGCCGAAGTGTCATCGAAACGGGAGAAATTCGATCATGTTGAACAAGTGCTTCGGCTTGTGAAAGATATTCGGGGCGTAGTTGAAGGCTTTGAAAAACTGAAGGTTCTGAATGACGACGAAAAGGATCCCGTTGCCTTGGTAGAAACTTTGTGCAATTGCGAAGACATCTCAGAGACGCACATGCGATCCGGAATATTGTGCTGCGAGATTCTCGCCAAGGAAGCGTCTTGGTGGCGAGAGGAAATTCGTTTGACCCTGATCCGAGCCTGGAAAAGAAACTTTTGCGTTACCGAAGAGGTTTCGGAGCTTGGGCCATTTGTGTGTGTCAAAGTGGGTCGACCTTTCGAATCCGAGGTCAGGGACTTCATAACCGCCTTAAACAAAGCTGTACTGTTGGACGATTGCATCAACTGGCTTGCGTCTCAAACCTGCACTCATCTTCTCAACGAAACTATGAACCTACGTCGGAAAGTGACTGAACGTAGCGACACGATGTTCTCTGTGCGTTGTATAACTGGAGACCAAGAGGAAGAAGAAAATGGGTGTAACTTTGTTGCCGCGCTGTCACCTGTTGTCGAAGCCTTGGAATTCCTCTTCTCGAATCTGTTATGCGAAGAAACGGCGGGTGTGGAAATTATGCAGTTGTTTTCCTCGCAAGTCGCCCCAGAGTTTCGACGAAAGGTGAAGGATGAACTCTTGTGTGCTGCTGTGCCGAGTGATCTTGCCTCGTTGGTGCAGTTTACGAAGCTCATGGAAGATTTTTCGGAGCTTGAAGACCGTCTAGTGAAAATTGGGTTCTACAAGGACACAATTAGCGAGAATGCGGCGACTAGAGTCGAAGAGTTGTATGCTTCGAAAAAGCGCGATGAGATTCTCGGCGCGGGACGTGAATTAACCAAGCAGCGATTGAGGAACACCGTCACGGTTATGAATGCAGCTGGGGAAAATATGCAGGTTGGTCTTGTGCCAGAAGCAAGCTAAAAAAATAAGAATGCAGGTGGACTCTTTACATTTTCTCTGTGTAACGAATTATTATTTTTTTATTGAGCGTATCGGGTTCTCTCCCCATTTTCTAGGGAGTTCTCGACAGCAAAAATCTTTCCACGAGGAACTTATTCTGATCCTCTGAATTTTGTTGTAGAGAGTCTATCTCTAGTGGTGGATGCGAAAGTGGATAATTTCAAAGATCCTTCTTATCAGAATTTCAAATTGAAAATCAACCTGCTCGTCACAGAAAAATTAGTGTATTTAATCGGACTCTTGCTTTGTTTTCTGTATAAACTGCCTGTAAAACGGACAAAACTTGTTATGCTAAAAATACAGTATTATACTGTACTGAAATTTTACCATTCTGCTTACATTCTAGTCCCAAATTTAGCCTTTTGCATTCATGTTTCTTGCGATGCCAAAAATTAAAAAGGCTATTTTTTGCATTGTACAGTAAACTTTTTTTAGGATAATTACTTGAGTTTGATGCTCCCTCAAGTAAATGAAGAATACATTCATATTAAATTTTTACCCTAAAATTTTGAGGAAAATGAATCCCCAAGTAAATAAAATATGCATCTTAAATTTTAGAGACAGAAAATAGAAATATTTGAAAAATTAAGTGCATCCGAATTTTTATTTTGACTTGAATTGTAGTCAGATGAACGTTCATTTTCAATTACTGTATTTTCTTTTAAATTGTCCATTGGCTAAAAATTCCGTGTTGGAATCAAGTTTGCACCAAAGCTTAACCAATTTTCAAAATTCTTATACACTACCTGCCAATGACTCACTGCCTCTTTTTTTCCCTTTCTTTCAAGAAAAAGTGTGTTCGGTTAAATATAAGTAAATGCTGTAGAATCTTTCTGCAATGAATTTACAGTATTTTAGAAGTCATTGCCCGATAGCCGCAATGTTGAATGAGTTGACTTATTGCAATTTTTTTTACACCCAAGTTGGTCCTAATGACTGTGTTTTAAAACGATTTCAATGTACTACAGTACTTGCGTACGTGGCGTGCATGAACGTGTTCTCAGAGCAGCGCTAAAAAATTAGTTCGTTGTTTTCTTGCTAAATTTCCCGAAATTTGACTCCACCAGAAATGCTCCTTGTCATTTAAAAAATGGAGAATTCCCCGATATTGATGCATGACATTTAATCCGAATTTTTGAGAAAAATTATTTTTCGGGTAGATCTGACTATCAATTTATTCGCAGGTTAGCGAAAACATCGTCAAAATTGTGGACCTTCTTGAAAGCACTGCTCAGCTTGCTGTGGACGCTGCTGGGAAACAGCCGCTGGTTTCAGCAACAGCAGCTCAAACTATACGTGATGTCATCGAAGTTTACGTCACACTCACCCCGGTTTTCCATTCAGAAGAGTTCTCTTCGCTGCCGTTTCTCGCAGCCGTTGTTCGGAACGACGCTTGGTTCATGTCTGAAAGCTTAATATCCGCCGAGTTGTTCGAAGCTGCGGATTTGGTGGAGAAACTGCGAAATTTCGGCTGTGATGTGTTTGAAGCGCAACTCAAGAGCCAGTGCGGATCCATGCGGGACAATTTGAGATATGACGGAGGGTTTTGTTCGTTTGCCGAGGACCCGAAGCGGAAAGGGGCCGAGTTGGGTTTGAAACGAACCATTACCCAGGTCAGTGTTTTCCTTCGAAAAAAGCTCAGAAAATATAATTGGAGAGTAGAGGAGAACTGCTCGAGTTTTTTGCCCCGTTGCCTGACCTTTTTTTCTTCGAAATCTGGGACAGATATGGATTACATTTATGAACCTGACCGCAAAATAACATGGACTAGCCCAATTCTTTGAACTCAGTCTGTTGTACAGTGCAGTACATGGTAATGTACAATGCAATACTTGATGTTTAGCTCACCACTGTTTCAATTTTTCCTAACCCAGGTTTAAATAGAAAAACGGCAGAACGCTGATTCATCTCTACAATGTGGTATTTTTTTGCTTACCATTTTTTAAAAAGCAGACGGTCTAAATAGTACTTTACAGGCAAACCTTCATAAGCCGCCATCATTTGTTTGTGGTAGTTCAAAGCGGGTTGGTGAATAATATGAAAATTCAGAATAATAGGAAATAAAATTCGTATTCTTATACAAAACAATTAAAATAACCCCGGGTTGAGTAAATTATATACAGTACTGTATAGCTAATTTTCCCACGAAGTAAATTATGTCATCTTGCGGTTTGCGTTTTTTTTTTTATTGGACTTGTACTGTGCTGTAGAAAATTCTTTTTTTTTTTAATGTTCGCCTCGAGTTGCTGCATTTGAAGGTTGCCCTCAATTGTTGTTGAGAAATTGTCAGAGTCGAAACTGAAATTAATTTATGTTTTCTGAAAATTAATTGAGTTTCTGTTCCAACAATCCAACCATGGTTTCGATTACAGTTTTATAACTTAAATGACTGGGTATTCAGAAAATATACCATAAATCCATAATATCACGGTGATGATGAAACTTCCGACGTGTTCTTCAATTTAACATTTGTTCTAATGCGTGATTTTTCTCAGAACTCAGGGTAATGAGTTAAACTAAATCAAAAATTGCATGAATATCGAAAACTGTTGAATATAGTGATTTTTTCGGTTGAAATGCGTTGGGTGAAAATGTTATCACTTAATAATTAAAATCCCCCTTTTCTTTGGATTTCAGATGAAAGGCATGCATGCGGTGTGGAGTAATTGCCTGCCATGGAAAACGTACGTCGCTGCTCTCGGCTTCCTCTTGGACACAGCTGTGGAAGAGATCCTGCGTCAAGCCCTGACTTGTGAAGACATCGCTTCGGAAGCCGCCAACAATTACTCCTCTCTCCTCCGATCCACGTTCATTGCACGTTTACCCGCATTGTTCTCCACGGCTGAGAGGACAGTAGACAATGTGCACGATGTTGTGACCCGTTTGCACGCTCTGGAAGAATTCGTGTTTGTCTTGGACGCTCATCTGCCGGAAATTAAAACGCGGTGGGACGCGGGAAGGGGGCCCTTGGCGAGGGCTTTTGCCGCCCAGGAAGTGAAATTCCTGGTTCGAGCGCTGTTCCAGAACACTGATAGCCGTGCGAAAATCCTGGCTGCGATATCTTGATTACCGATGACGTGATAAGCGAAACCTGTTTGATTGTTGGCTTTTGTTTTTTGGGGGTTTTTATCGAATTATTTGAAGACGCTGGAGATATATTTGAATGGTTCTGAGAAGGACACTGGGCAGTTTTATGAGTGAAGTTGGGGGGAATGGTCAGATTCCTCTTTCTGAAAGACGTCATTCCCGAAAAAATTATGAAATCGTTTCGATCTATAATCAATTACTGTATTTACTTGAGTACCATTTGCCCTCAAAAAAGACACGTGCCTCTAATTTTCAGCCCCAAATTTAGATGAAAACCATCCCCAGATAAGACATGCACCGTAGTTTTCAAATACCATACCTGTACCAAAATTCAAATTTTGAAAGCTACATGGAGTAAAAATCTAAATACAAACCCAATTAAAAGTTGAAGTGGATGTTTATGTTTTTTTTTCATGCAAATCATGGAATCATTCAAGAAGACGACTTCGAAAAATCGCTAAATGGGTGAAGAAGTTTTGTGAAGACACGCGCCTCTAATTTTCAGCCCAAAATTTGGATGAAACCCCATCCCCAGACAAAACACGCACCTTAGCTTTCAGATACCCTCAAAATTCATATTTTGAAAAGTACGTGGGGTGAAAATCGATCTAAATGCTGTACAAACCTGTTCGAAAGTTAAATTAAATTATTATGTTTTTTTCCCATGCAAGTCATAGACATTGAATAAGAGAACTTGAAAAACACCTTGAAAGTGGGGAGAAAATTTTGACCTTGAAAAATGCTTCACCTAATGCTTTACTGTATTTCAAACGCGCAGAAAATGCTGAATTTTCTTCTGCGCTGTAACGTTTTGCACGTCTGCAAAAATCACCGTTGGTCTCACTTAGCATCGGAATACATTTTTAATTTCCTGCGGATGCGTGAAATCTAGTGATGATTTCCAAGAAAAGGGTTCATTTCCTTCGAATGATAGCAAAAAAAAGTAGATATTCTGATATGAAGCATTTGGAAAATTCAGTGAAGCTTATTCTCTTAAGGTTCAAGGAGTGTTAGTTTGAAATTTCATACCTTTCTGCGTGTATTTTGCCCAACACAATACTGTACAGGTATTTCAAACACGCAGGAAATGTGGATTTTTCTTTGCATTTTAACTTTTTGCAAATCTTCTGCTGTAATGAGTGTTGGTTTCATTTAGCATCAGAGGAATTTCGACTCGTAAAATCGAGATTTGCGAGAACTCGATTTTAACTTTCTGAATGACAGAAGCAAAAAAAGAAGTGACTCTGACCACTCCACGTTGACCTCGAAGCATTGAATATTTTATTTTGTTTTCATGAGATTGATCCTGAGCCACACTGTATGTGTTATTCAGAGCGAATGAATCAAGTTCGCAGAGTAGTGGTTCATGTGCCGGATTTGGCTGGCGAATTCCGAAGGGCGGCGTTTTTGCAATGTCTGGTGGATTACTTCGGAATGGATACCAGTGGAACCGTGGATGTGGAATTGACTGAAGGTGTTTTGAAACTCAAGCCCTCACTACCGGGTGTGATCCATGAACCCGGTATGTTGAGTGTCTGGGCGAATCGAGCCACTGCAGTCAAGCTGACGGTACGTTAGCGTACTTCTCGCCCAGTTTTTTGTTGTTGATCAATTTATCTCCCTCACTACCGGGTGTGATCCATGAACCCGGTATGTTGAGTGTCTGGGCGAATCGAGCCACTGCAGTCAAGCTGACGGTACGTTAGCGTACTTCTCGCCCAGTTTTTTGTTGTTGATCAATTTATCCTCTCTGGAAGGTTTTGAGTTAGGGAAATGTTCATTTTTGTCGTGGGAAAAGTGAAAACAGAAGAATTGAAGGAAATAGACGAATAGTATAGGGTGAAATTCTGGCATTTAAATTGCTTCTTAAATGACTTGATGGGATGATGAACTTGGAGACAGTGTGCATTTGCCCAATTAGTCTTTCACTTTCTTTTGAAACACATTGTTACTTTTTTATTGCTTTTCTTATCCCTGTGTCAAGAAAATAATAGCCAAAAAAGTCCCCAAAATTTTGAGCTTTGGAAGTTTGAAAGGAAAAGCCTTTGAGTCAGAGAGGTTTTTAATGCATTAATTCCTGGAGAATTCTGATGGAACTCAAGTAAATTTGACTTGAGGAGGTTCAAGTGTACCATGTTTGCTAGTGTGTAAGAGGTACCATATTTGCTCAAATACTACATGCCCTTATGTAAGAGTAGTAATACATGCATCTTGATTTTTGAGAAAAATAATCTCAGCCTATAAGATTCACAACCAAGTTTTCTGTGACACAAAAATTGATTAATTTTCGGAAATAAATGAAATTCCAATTTTAGACTGATGAAATTTAAATTCCATTGTGCTGCATGATTTGTGTTCTACATTTTCATATACCAGTTTCATTTGAGCCTGAATAAATAGTTTCACTTGTTACAGTCTTGAAAATTATTTATTTAAACTTTGATCAATGTGTTTAAAGTAGATCATGTACCAAGGTTTTCAAAATTATTTGAAAAAAATGTATTGTATACTCTACTTCTGAGCTTTTTCTAAGGAAACATTTGTGCATGGTATTGAGTGCCAAGAAGTGCAAAGTGAGTAACGCTTTGCCAAGATTTCAAGAAACATTATTGGAAAAAAAGTCCAAGACTTTAAATATCTCTTGAACAAATCGAGCTATTGCTATGGACATAAATTCAGGTGCATCTCATAAATTTGATCAAATTGATTTTCCAAAATGGGCCACTTTTTTGCTTTTATTTCAGTTTTTTATCAAGTGTTTACAGTATTGTTCATCAATATTTGTGCTTGTGTTTTGCATGTAGGACTCTTTTTCTCAGTACATAAGGTACTTATTTTTCAAGTTTTCTCTCATAAAAATCGTGATGTAGAATTTGTAAATTAAATTCAACTAGGATAGGGATTGAAGGAGACAATTGCCTGAATTCTGCAGCGTTTGTCGCTTTCCTAGTAAAAAAAATTCATGGAATCTTCAATTTAGTTCTCAAAATTCTGCAGCATCCGCCATTTTGTCCAGTGAGCTGCATTTCCCCTGAAGAAAAATTGCGTATTCCGGAAGAAATCGTCGATCGTGGTGTGGACGTTGGTGTCGTGGTGATTCTGGAATCCTCGGATCGGAAAATTCTGTTGACCAGACGATCAGCTACCATGAGAACTTTTCCCAACACCTGGGTTCCACCTGGTGGTCACATTGGTGAGCTTTGAGAAACAAAAATACAGTAGTGCATCTGGCAATAAAACTGCATTCGGGGCACCGACATCCGGACGATTCTACTTATAAGGACACTGTAAACACACACACAAAAAGTTGCATTGACATGTGGACAAAGTCTCGAAGTATGGACACTTCTCTAAGATTTCCAGAAAATTGTTGCGAAATCAAATTTCATTCTTTTCTTCTTTCCTCTCACTTGATTCGTCGACTCTCTTTCAGAGCAGGGCGAAACTTTGATACAAGCTGGAATGCGGGAGCTAATGGAAGAAACGGGACTCAACGTGGGCTTTAAAAACTCGAAATTGCCGCCGTGGGATTCGTGTGAAGTACTGGGGCTTTGGGAATCAGTTTTCCCGTATGAATTGCCACTAGGTCTTCCCGTCAGGCATCACGTGGTCATTTATTTGCACTGCCGTTGTCCAATTACGTCTGAGGCCATGAATGATCTCGTCCAGGTAACTGAAAACCATGCGTTTCTCTTCTCTTTTTTTTGCATTATGTGTGTAGCATTAAAGTTTTTTGCACTTTAGTGCTTGACTTGTTGTTGTATGAATTAAGATTAAGTTGAGTTGAAGTCTTGTTGAATAACATGTCATATTTATGAAGTAGTGTCCAGAGGGACCCAAGAATTTCTGATATAAAAGGGTTGTCCCTGTTGCAGGCGACCTCTGATATTATTAGGGGAGGCGTGATTGTAGAAAAAGAATCCTGACAGTCCATGATGTTCTAAGATTCTGGGATTTTTTTATTTCAAGAAAAGGGTTTCAATTTAATGCATGGTGATGAGTGAGAACTTTACAGCTATACCCATTTCACAGGATGCTGAATAATTTTCAAGCTGAACATATAATTTTTTTTATTCTAACCATTATCTAAAATGTATAAAGGATAATTGGTAAACTAACAAAGAAATTCCACATTTGGCTGGCCTGAAAAATTTCAGTACCCTGTAACATGTGTGGAGAACTCTGGCTGTAACTAAGAAGCCCACTTATCATGCAAATTGATGAAACCTTTTTGAATTTAACAAAATCCAACACCTTAGAACATCATTGGCTATGGCATGATCTTTTACAATCACACCAAAGTACTTGAAAAAATCAGAGGTTGTGTCCAACTGGGACAGCCCTTGTATACAGGTGGACTCTCAATGCAACAAAACTCAAGGGACCAGAAAAAATGCATTGTAAAGAGAATTTTGATGTAGAGAACCCCATAATATGAGATAACTTATGGTAATAAAAATCAATTTATACCTAGAATGTTGTTGTACACAAGATCATTGTAGAGAGAGTCCAGAAAAATGTAACAGTACTCAGCAAGTATGATGTGTGCCCCATTTTTGAGGGAAAAGGTGCAGTGGTACTGGAATAAGTACAGTAATCAAGATAATCCTTCTATACACAGGCCTCTACACAGCAAATAAACTGTAGAATATTACGAAGTTACTTCTCAGGCTGATGTTTTTTGTGTCTCGAATTTGTTCAGCTTGACTCAGTTGAAGTCGGTGCCTGTGCTTGGTTGAGTCCTGAGGTCGTGGAAGCTGTGGCGGAAAATAAACCGTTACCCGACGGTCATGAAGTTCAGCTCACTGTAGTCGATTCCAATGGTTGCCAAAGGCGAGACGTGATTGAAAATTTTGTCGAGTTCACGAGACAGAGAGTATTGAATGACTCATCAGGTGGGGGTCGGTTAAGCACTGGCACTCAATACGCCCTGAAGCTTTTACACACTGCTCGGAATAGTCCGGCGTGATATGTATCTGTACATGTCAAGGATTGTTTTTTTTTCAACTATGTAGGAGTTTTTTGAAGAGAAAATTGATTTGTTATTGTTTGGGTGTCAATTGGATGGAAATGTATACTTGTTGCTTGCAGAACTTGCACATTTTCAATTTTATAAATCCAGTAAAACCTATTCAAGTCAAATTTCAAGGGACAAGTTGGACAAAATTTGAGTCAGGGAAACATGCATTTTTATTGCAGGAAAGATAGAAGAATTGTGGGAAATTGCAAGTGGTAGTATTCTGGGTCTTCAATTGCTTTATAAATGAGTTCACCAGTTGCTGAACTTTGAGGCAAGAGTTCATTTGCTCAATTAGTCTTTCACTTCCTTTATAAACATATCAAGCTACTTTTTATCCATTTATTTTTTCTTTCCCTGCGTGAATAAAATAATGGCCAAAAGACCTCAGAAAATTTGAGCTACATAGGTTTGAGAGGAAATGCATTTGAGTTAGTGAGGTTTTTGATGCCTTGTTTCTAAAAAGGTAATTTAGACACGGACTTGAAAAAATTGACAAAGTGATGCATTTGACTGATGGAGGTTAATCATCAGACAAATGTTCTTACTCAATAAGTACCTGATTTCTTCAATTAAAACATCTGAATAATTATTTGTATTGGGAACAATTATTCATTGATGGCATGAAATTGTTTTCATTCTCCACATCACGACATTTTCATCATACAGTAATAATTCTTATAAATAAAACCAGGACAATTCAAATAAATTGATGTGATCTTGGAAAAAATAAATCCAAATTCTTGACACCAATATTATATTATTTCATGAACCTCTATTGTACAACGTATTCTTGGAGTGCATATGGAAGTTTGTTGTACAGTAATAAGATCTGAGCTGTACTATTTCAGCTAGGATAACTTTAAAAAGTTTTATCTGCCAGTAAACAGCAAAATTGGAGATAGCTTTGAATTATAGAAAATCTCTCCTTGCACACCAGCATAAAAAGAAAAGTTTAACTGAATTTTCTCTCTGAGCTCTTATCAGACATTTTCCTCACCTTGACATTTCCTTTTGACCCAGAAGAATCTCACAGGATGTTCTTCAAAATACCTCGAGTGTATGTATTTAATCAGGCACCTTCAGGGGAAACCTTTTCCAAAACATCGCCTTCACTCCCGTCATCATCTCCGAGATTCGGATTTTCCAGGATGTCGTGCAAGTCTCCCCGTAATTCCTGCATCTCTTGTTCCGTCAGCGGAGTTTTCGCGTTGGGGTCAAAGTGGACGAAGCCTCGTCTTTGCTCCTTGCTGGCTGCTACTTTCTTTCCCATGGCCTCCAAACGTTGCTGAATTTGCTTCTCGATTTTCTCCACTTCTCTTCGGGCCTCAGCCTTTGTTCGTTCCGAGTTGCTGAAAACCCCGGTTTCCCGTGTTCTGAGGATGCCGATGAACACGAAGCAGGTGATGGCGAGCACCACTACGAGTATCGCGCCTTCTTTGTACGCCGAATAAGCCGTCATTTCGAGGTTGAATGTTATCCTTGAAGGGAAAATCAAGTTGGAAATCCTAATTAAATTTCTACGTTTTATCAAGGGGAATTTTTCCTTTTTTAGCTGTGCTTCCAATGCGCTACGATAAGATTCCGTACAACAAAAATCACGCATTACGACATTTTCAGTGGTAAAAAAAAAAAAGGACTCGTATATCGGAATCGTATCACAGAACGACATTTTTAGGTCAAAAACGCTACAATTTCATTGAATTTTGACTATAAACGAATTCTAAAAAATGGAAATAAATTAGAAAATACAATGGCTTAGCGTTGCTTCATATTGTATGATACCCAGGAGTACGCATGAAATCCACAAAGTCAAGAGCAAGAAGTTGTCAGGATTACCTCAATTTCATACTAATGACTTTTACATTCACTGTTCTATGACAAAAAACACACACTTTCAATGGTTTATTATCAAGTTTTGATGAATGGAAGGAAGGAATTCATAATGGAATCTTAAGGAAAAATGCATTTTTCATTACGAATTTCTGTAACAAAAACACACATAAAAACAGATTATTTTTATTATAAGGGCATCCAATGTATACACAATCCCAATATATACCAGCGCATAATATCAACAAAGAAAATGTTTCAAATTCAGATTCTCAATTTTTAATCAAGAAAAACATTAGCCCAATAATTAGTAAAAATTTTAAAAACCTGCAAGAATCTTTATTGTTAACCAATTTAACCATTAATAAAATATTGTCATTGAAATAAATTTTACAGACCCCAGCCTAGTTGGACTCAAAAAGAAAGAACAGAAAAATTTTTTTTGCAGAAAGCCCCCATGGGACAAAAAATAATTTATTATACCACAGAAAAAATAATAGTAAACAAAATCATTGAGGGGAGTGTACCTGTAGCCATATCATTATTAAAATAACTTCACATTTTTAAATGAAGCCTTTTGCAGTTCCCTCATGTACAATGACTTCGTTGAAACAAAATGTCACTGTAAAACAAATTTTCATATTGTGACTTGAGTGAAGTTGTGGATAAACTCCAGGGTCCTCAAAACAGAATTTGATACAAACTAGGATCAATTTTAACAGAGATTATATCTGTTTATACAGTACTGTATATGTACATAATACTTGGAATGCAGCACATTTTCAAGTCTTGATAATCTTTTATTGAAAAAAGACTCTTGGCAGCATTGAGAAAATTGTATTCATCACCTTTTCTCAAACCTTCACTGATGTTTTACTTGAGTTTTTATCTGTTCCACTAAAAATCTTGTTGACACATTCTATCTGCAGTATATGATAAAAAAACGAAGTTATACTCCCAAAATTGTCACTATAGCAAAGCGAACCGAATTCTAGCTGGAATAACGTTGGGTCAAAAGAAGCCCTGATTTTGTGCGTGGTCACTGTTACCTTGGTCACTATACTGAACTGATGAAGGAAACAATAAGTTCGCAGGCTTTTTACTGTGAGTCAGCGACTTGTACGCATAACGGTTACATCCAGCGTAAACGAATTTAGCCTCGATGTAAAAGTGTCAAGCCGAGCCTCGAAAAAACGAGATTATACAAATACGTAGTTAGAGTACGGAAGGAGAGGTTTAAAAATAAGAGAAAATAATAACGGAGAGAAGGAAGCCAGAAAATATAAATGCCTTGAGAAAAAAAAGAGGACAGCGGACGAGAAATGTTGCGGGGGATGAAATGAACCAAACATATTTATACATGCCCTTCGAAACTGACAACCATAGTGCTCTTATCAAAATTATTTAGTCAATTCAACGCTGAGCACTGATTTAACAGAACTTGACACACTGCTTTGAATCTATAAATTTCATCATGTCATGACATGTATTTTAATAACATTCCCTGAATGGGTGGAGTTTTTACTGTTGTACTGCCTTGCCGACCGCAGAGGAGTAGCAAGGTGAACTGATCTTTAGCTGCTCGTAGGATAAGGACGCCCTGACAAATGCGGGAATTGAAAATCGATGATGTTCAGTAAATTATGAGGTAAAATGGAGGTCACAGCGAGATTTAAGAAAATACTGTATACTGTACCACAAAAATTGTTTCACGTACCTGCATTTTCGTTCCCTCGAAATGTTCTCGTGGCTCCGTTCATATAAAAGCGATTCACGCCAAAACAAATCAAAGCACTTCGTACTTACATTCGTACGTACGCTCACATTCTGTGTAGTTCGTCGCATGGACAAAGTCGTTCGGTCCGCTGCATGTTGATTGATGCCGTGATGCGAACGCGATAAGCATCTCTTGTAAATCTATAAGCATCTCCTCATGAAAGATTCCTTGGCGAAGAAGTCCTTGGCCGTCATTTTCTGAAGACCCTAACCTTGCATGCGGGGTCGACCTTCGGCACTCAAGGCTATGGGTTTCCTGTGTCGGTCTGATATCGGATACTCCGCAACGAAAGTGCATGAATGGACTTTTTTGTTCACCATATACAATGCAGCGTGTCGATGAAACCCCAGGTTGAAGTACGATGCATTCATGTTAAGGAAGACGAGATGTTGTGACCTGCATCAGGGAAGTATCCTGACCTCGAAGATTTTGTCATCAAGGTCGAAGGCCGGAGATCGATCAGGTACAAAAACCAGGGAAGCGGGTTGGTGATGGTTTTAATTCATGGGTGAAGCTTGGTGAGTCCAGAGACTCCAGACGCATCGCGAGCATCAATTGAAAAGTGATTCGAAGGTGTAAAATTGTTCTCTCGCTTATATTACTTTTAATGAGACGAGTTAAGGAATACGTGTACATATTCTGGGCCGAAATATTGGAGCAGTACGGAAATTAGAACGGTGTT